TCTTGTAGTCATAGCATTGCTCCATGACATACAACTCGCTGCCGGCGTTCGAGGCACCAAACTTGGCCTCGAGCGCAGGCCACATGTCCTTGGCATCGTCAAACGACATATATGAATCCACAATGGAATCATCAAGAACACTCAGAAGAGCGCCTTTAAAGAGAGTGTCGATCTTCTCAAAAGCTTCCAGTTGTGCTGGATTAAGATCGCCCTCGGGCTTGCCCTTAGTGGCGTCATAGTAGCACATGGTCTAAAACCAGTAGACTGCTCTCGTGCGTCACCTTTTATATTGCACCCCCCTTAAAGGCAGACAGCTTCAAATACGCAGCAAAACCACTCGGTAGTTGGAAGTTCTTGTCGTCGTCTTGTGGTTCCTCCCTCTAGCAGGGTAGAGAAGTACAATCAAGTTACAACAATATCAAAAATCTTACTTTAATCCCGAGCACAAATGCACCCGCGTGAAAAGTAAATTCAGGACAAAGAAGTAAAAAAAAATACTCAAAAAACTGATTTTTTTGATGGATGAAGATCACCAAGTAAATTTGGCCACGAAAAGACATCCGTGGAGGTGTGTGCCAAAAAACCTAAAATGTCTGCGCCAAAGTATGTCCTTTTGAGTCGTGTCCTTTTTTGTACAGGCCTCCACTGATGCCTTTTCAAGGTGAAATTTTGCAGGATGTTAGAAAAATTTTTGATGTTCATCCACAATAGATTTTGGATTTTTTTTTATTCTACAATTTTCAGAATTACTGTTCATGCTAGCGTATTTAGGCTCGGGAGCAGATAATCCTTGTCCCAGCAACAATACGTCCCAGTAACTAGTGGGGGCGGTGCAAGTGTGATGAGCTAGCACACCGACGCATGCATGCAGAGAGTCCATGGTACGGAGGCAAACAGCCGTCCGTTGATGTACGGAGTATCTTTCAGTGGTTTGCAGAGAAAGAAAAAATAAAGCATGCGTGCGTACGTGGAAGATGCATGTTGTGAGCTAGCTGAATGACGCATGCATGCAGTTGGCAGAGAGCTCATGGTTGAGTACGGAGGGAAATCTCTTGTGGCGGCTAAACCGTTCATTGATCGAGGGCGGCAGGCGGCGGCAGGCGATATCTGGGCGGCCACATCGTGTTGGACCCTGATATGGCAGTCGAGTGGCTGGCATTGCATGGCGTACGTACGTCCTCTCTTTTCATTGCGTGTTGCATGCACCTTTCCCTTGGTTGACTTGTTTTCTCGTCTCCTTTTCTACACTACTACTCCCTAGCTAGTTCGAGTTAACTTGTCACGGATTGAGTTAGTTTTTCTTACGTATGATCGTTTTTTTTTTGCGGGTACTTACATATGATCGTTGATGCTCGTAAACACGCACATACAATTATCTCTATGAATAAACGCATGCACAATTTATCTCTATGAGTATTTTTAAGATACTAGACCAACACAACATCTTAAAATTGATAAAAGTCATCATAAACATTTCATTGTCCAAAAAATGTATCCTTCGACTGAATGAACATCACCGAAAAGTCTAGAAAAAAAATTAAGAAAAAAAATACAAGCACCGGTGCAAGTCTAAGACTTGAACATTGATAGGCTAGTTTCATCACCGGTAATCTCATCATCTGATGAGCTACACTGAATTCGCCACGTTAGTGATGTTAGGGCATCTCCAGCCGTTGGCCCCCCAGGAGGGGCAAAAAATCGCCCTCTGAGGGCGCACCGGCGCTAAACCGCGCACTGGGGGCGTGATGCCTCCCAGTCGCGGCCCCCCACGGGTTTTTAAAATATTTAAATTCGGCGCAAACACAAAGCAAACACGGGCGAGTTCATTCAAATTTAAAAATATTTTACAAAAAGAAAAAAAGAGAACAACTACCGCGGGCTACCCCCGCCGTCTCCCTCGCCGCCCGCCCACGCAGTTCTACATGCCGAGGACGCTGTAGAACCGCGTGTAGTCACCGCCGTCGTCGTCGTCGTCGTCGCCCCCGCCTACGCCTCCGCCGTCCCTGTTGCATCCCTCCCCCGGTTGGCACGGCGGGTTGGACGGTCCGGGGGCGTCGTCGTCGTCGCTATCGACGACGACACCGTCCTCGTCCTCGCGCCCACGTTTGCGGGCGGCAATCTCCTCCAGGGCCCGGCGCTGCCGGACCATCTCCTCGCGCAGGTAGTCGTCGCGCGACCACCGCATGGCGTCCTCGTCGGAGAAGCCGCGCCGGGCTATCTGCTCGTACTCCGGGGGGAGGCTGGACTCCACCTTGGGCTCGACGAGGGCGCCGGAGCTGCGGGTACGCGCGCTGACAGGCGTGTCCTGGGGGTCCGGCTTGACGGGGCGGAGGTGGAGGCAGGGAGAGCCGCCGGGCGAGGAGGAGGACACCCCGGTCTCCATGCGCCTCGGCGTCCAGGAGCTTCCCCGACGGCGTGAGAAGGACGGGGGAGCGGGGTACTCGAGGCGCGGCGTGTTGCCGCCCTTGATGTACTCGAGGACGGACTCCAACATGCGCCCGGGCACGCCCCACCACCGACGCCGGCCGGCGGCGTTGAACCTGCCGGAGGGCACGACGCCGTTGGTGGCCTCGAGCTGCTCGTCGTGCCGGTGGTGGAAGTACGGCTCCCAGATTGGGCTGTCAGGGACGTACCGGGGCCCCTCCCTCGCCGCACGCGGCAGGGACAAGCGGATGCGTGCGATCTCCGCGCGCCGCGCCGCGCCGGTGGGTACCGGGGGCACCGGCACGCCGCCGGCGCTGATCCTCCACGCCCCGGGCACCCGCATGTCCGGCGGGACCGGGTACTCGGCCTCGAAAAGGAGGCGAGCCTCGTCCTCATGCACATGACGGCGCCCGAATCCGTTCGCCGCCGCGCCGTCGCCTGGGAAACGCTTGGCCATGCTTTCTCAACTGGTGACGGCGAGAGGAGGAAAGAGTGAGAAATGAGCGCGTCGTCGGTGAATGATCAGGGTGAGTCTCTCCGGCGCGCTTGCAGTCGGCTTTTATAGGCGGAGACGCCGCGTGGTAGGCTTGGCCGACGCGTTACGCGTGGCGTGATTGCGTGGCGGCCGAGGGACGCGTCGCCCAGCCTTCACTGCGCCGCCCGTGAGGCATCAATGGAGGCTGACCGGTGCGGCAGCGCGCGGCAGCTTTGGCATTGATTCGCCGTGGGAAACGAGGCGATGAGGACGACGGAGGGGCGAGAAGAGAGTAGAGTCGCTGACGCGGCGGGCCCGCGGCTCTTCGCGCCAAAAACGATTCGCCCCGCGCCCCCGAGCGACCCCCAGCGCGCCAGGTTCGGGTTGGGTCTGCCGGCGCCAATTTCGGCCCGAGCCGGCAAAAACTGGGCTCTTGGGAACGCGACTGGGCCGATTTTTTGACGTCGGCGGACGAAAAAAATGTCTGAGGGGCCTTGGAGATGCTCTTAGTTGGTTGTGGAAGAGAATTAAAGAAGTCAAGCCGGCGCCGAAGATGTGTACTGCTCTGTAATAGTGCATGAACCAATTGGTGATCGATCGAGGACTAGTCTAATCTCGCCTGCTAGCTTAGCAAGGACTCCATCATTGAGTTGGGGGATTGCTTGTCCATACGGATCAAGTAATCAAGCTTGCATGGAAAGTAGTAAGCTCATATTAGCTAGTTAGCTAGTTAGGAACATGGAGGGCTAGGGTTGGCCCTCGGGTGCCTGGCTCAAAATTTGGTTGTTCGTACTTCTTACACGTTGCCTGCTGCCGGCCGCTTTTCATGTCTAATCTGCCTTGTCTCATCTATCTGCTTGTCTGCGCACCCAAAGTCACCCAGAGAATATTAGTACCACGGAACAACGTACTTTTCTCATTTCATTTTCCTTTCAGTACATGGTAGGAATACACCATGTGGAAAAGGAAAGCATTGTTTTTTAAGAAATATACTACCTTGGTCTTATGTTAATTGTCGCTTAAACGGATGTATCTAGACGAAGATGTAAAAGTAAGCGGAGTCGTGACTTGGGCAGGCCTAGCTGAATGGGAACACATGTTTCTTTCCCTCACGGCCTATCCCCCTTCCCCCTTGGCCCACTGTTTTGAAGAAAAAATGGGCGGGTCGTGGCCCGGTTTTGCTTCAACTAAAGATCGGCCACTGAAAGTAAGCCCTGTGAACTCCACAACTCCTATTTGGTGTCCTCACAACATGTTTGGTTCGAGAAAATTAGAGACGAGGAATGGGAGTTGAGGGGTAAGGAGATTAAAAGTTCACTGTTTGATTAGAGGGAATGGAATTGGGAGTTGAGGAAGCCAATTCCCACCAATTTCTTCTCAGGGAGTATCCTGTTAATTCGTGAGCAGAGTTCTATCCCATGCCAATTCCCATCATATGTCAAACAAGGGAATGGGAGTAAAAGTCTACTTCCCATGTCTAATACCTTCATAAACATCTTTGTGCAAACTCCCATTTCCTTGCCCGAGTGTTTACCAAACAGGCTGTCAGTGTCGGTTATATACCATTCTATAAACTGGCGCACACCCCTCTCCGTTCTGGCTCGGCCCATCTACTTTTTTCTCTTTACTTCAACCTTCAAAGTTTAAACAATGGACGTACCAAAAAAAACCAAAAAAAAACTCGGGCCGATCCAGAGTTCAAACAATGGACGTGCCAAAAAAAGAATTTTTTTTGTTTTGTTTTTTTGTTTTGTTTTTTCCCTAGCGTTTCGTTAGGGTCTTGAACTCCTCTGGCGGTGCCGCTGAGCAGAGTCTAGATCTTCCGATCGATCTCCCCTCCTCCACCCTCCATCCCTCCGACGACTCGGGCTGACTTCAGGGGAGCCCGTGCTCCTGCCCCGCCGTGGCTGAAAGAGGCTCTCAATCCTCTGGCGGCGCCGCTGTCCAGAGTCTAGTCCTCCCGCTCGATCTCCCCTCCTCCACCCTCCATTCCTCCGACGACTCAGGCTGACTACGGGGGAGCCCCGTGCTCCTGCCCGGCCTTGGTTGGAAGAGGCTCTCTCGGAGGTTGAAGGTAGAGTTGGCACTTGTTTTGGCAGTCATGGCTACAGGGAGCAGTAGTAGCACTAAGGGGTATGGGGAAGAGGTTGAGGAATTGCTCAATCGACTCGATCTGCATGAAGACGATGGAGATGACTTCGTCTGGGAAGAGGTGCCGGAATTGCAAGGAGTTCAGGCGAAGTGGCTGGCTATCGCGAAGGTGCACACAAATAAGGGATTTAGCCCTTCGGCCCTATATTCCGACATGAGATCTGCCTGGAATCCAGCGAAGGCTGTTCGCTGGCGCTTGATTGATAGCAATCTGTTCACTGTGCAATTCGGCTGTTTGGGTGACTGGAATACTGCAATGATGAATGGACCTTGGTTATTCAGGAACCAAGCTGTTATGATGATGGAATATGACGGGTTTACAAATCCTGGATCGATAGTCTTGGACAAAGTGGCGGTTTGGGCGAGAATTCTAAGGTTGCCTCACAACTACCTGAATGAGGTCGTGATAAAAGGAATGTGCAGGAAGATAGGGCAAATTCTAGAAGTGCAGACCCAGTTGCCAGCAGGCTATGTGGGTGCTTTTTGTCAGGGTTAAAGTGAACTTGGATGTGGAAGAAAAAGCTAGAGTGCTTTGTGTCAATCACAAAAGGAGGAACAAAGGACTGGTATCAGGTCAAGTATGAAAAAATGCCCACTTTTTGCAATCATTGTGGTTTGTTAGGCCACTGGTATGAGGAATGTGGTATAGGGGAACATGACACTTCCAAATTTGAATGGGGAGATTTCATTCTGGCTGATGGTTGGCAAAACCGGGGGGCTGGACGCGGCATCGGCAGAGGTACGGGAAGGGGCCGGACAGGAGCATCTTTTGGTAGGGGTTTTGGGAGAGGCGATGGGACAAAGTCACACTATGACGGCATGACTAGTTGGCGCTGGAACGCAGAAGTTGAGACACAGGAAGTTCCAAGTCAGGTTCAAGACCCGCTGAAGCAAGCTGAACAGAACTCGGGCTTGGATACAACTATGCTGGAGAATGACCCAATAATAAGGAAAAGATTAGCCCTTAATTCAGTGGCTGACCATGCAGAAAGGGTTAATCCGGGCCAATCTTTGGTTGTTGTAGATCATGCATCTAAGGTGACTGGAATGATTGGTCTCTTTGATGGAACCAATGAGAAGGACCTTTTAACAACTCCTCAGAAAAATGCTAATAGGAAAAAGCTAAAAGGGACTGATGGTTTGGCAATAGAGAGTAGTGGATCTTTTGAAAAGGTAGTTGGATCGGCGGCATCCCTCGTGGATGACCGCCGGACGCAATGAATATACTATGTCTAAACTGTCGGGGTTGCAGGCGGCCCGAGACAGTGAATGAAATAAACAACTTGGTGAAGTTGTATCACCCGTGCTTAGTCTTTCTCTCGGAGACTAAGTTGTCTGCTAAGAGAGCTCAAGACTTGCGGTTGAGGCTTGGTTTCTCGAACGCCTTTGGTGTTAAAAGTGAGGGACTGAGCGGTGGCTTGGCGCTGTTTTGGAATAGTGACTCGGTGGTAAGCTTAAAATCATATAACAACTCTCATATTGATGTTTTGATTCAGAATGAGAACTTGGGAGATAAGGAGTGGAGGTTTACTGGCTTCTATGGGGAGCCGGCTAGAGCTAAGAGGAAAAATAGTTGGGAAACTTATGAAATATTTGAGGGAACAGTATGAGAACCCATGGTTATGTGCTGGAGATTTTAATGAAATCCTCGAGGCAACGGAACAATTTGGTGGCCTAATACGTGATGAATGGAGAATGGATGGCTTCAGGAAGCTGTGGATGAGTGTCGTTTTGATGACCTGGGATATATGGGCTTGCCATATACGTGGGATAACAGGCAACAAGATAATGACAACATTAAAGTTAGGCTGGATAGAGGACTTGGTGATGATAAATTTCAGGAACTTTTCGGTAACACAACTGTACAACATGTTCAAACCACAGAATCAGACCATTGTGCTTTGATCATCTCAGTCCAAAAGTCTGATTGGGTAGGACGTGAAAGGCATTTCAAACCGTTCCGTTTTGAAAATGCTTGGACTAGGCATGAAAACTATGACAAGGTGGTGGACACGGCTTGGGTCCCATGCATTGGCTCTCTGATGGACGTGCAAGAATCTCTTTCCCGGGTAAAAGGACGTCTACAAAAATGGAGCAGTGACGAGTTTGGGTCAGTCTCAAAGCAGCTCAAGAGCTTAAGGGTGAAGCTGGAGGAAATTAGACTCAATGCGCTGGGCCAGGGGCCATCCAGGCAAGAGAAAAGCTTAATGCGGAGAATATCAGAATTAATAACCCGGGAAGAACTGATGGCCCAACAACGTTCGAGGGTTGGCTGGAAGCTTAAAGGCGATCGGAATACAGAGTATTTCCATGCACGGGCCCGTGAGAGGCAGAGAACAAATCGTATAAAATCTCTGAAACATGAAAACGGAGGAGTTGCAACTGCTCAAGAGGACCTGGAGAAAGAAGCGGTCGATTTCTATCAAAACCTTTTCACAGCTGCAGCTAATACTAGACCGGAGAGAGTTACAGACTCTATCCCTGGCAAGGTCACAGAGGAAATGAACCAACGATTATGTGCGCCAGTAACAGAGGTTGAGATAGAAAATGCATTGTTTATGATGCATCCTAGTAAGTCCCCAGGGCCCGATGGTCTTACTGCAGGTTTCTATATTAGGCACTGGAACTTGCTGAAGGAGTCCGTGTGTGCGGCTGTCAAGTTGTTTTTCGAAACAGGTAATATGCCTGAGGCTATTAATAAGACAGTGCTTGTCTTGATCCTAAAAATCAAAGAACCTCAAGATCTTACTCAGTACAGACCGATCTCCCTGTGCAATGTGTTGTACAAAATTGTATCTAAGGTAATGGCTCTCAGGTTGAGACCAATACTGGATGAAATCATCTCCGAAGAACAAAGTGCTTTTGTACCGAGTCGTCTTATTTCGGATAATTCTCTAACAGGTTATGAGTGTATACACTATTTGAAAAGGAAGAAAGGGAAAGCGGGGGCTTGTGCTATCAAGCTTGATATGGAAAAGGCGTATGATAGGGTAGAGTGGTCCTATCTCCGAGCAGTTCAGTTAAAACTAGGTTTCGCAGATCAGTGGGTTGAAAGGGTGATGGCCTGCGTGGAGACAGTATCCTTCTCTATTTGTGTGAATGGGGTGTTCTCAGACTCTTTCAACCCCTCGAAAGGTATACGCCAAGGCGACCCTATTTCACCTTACTTGTTTCTTCTATATATGTGCAGAAGGTTTAACTTGTTTGCTCAAGTCATATGGATCTGCTCATTTACGGAAAGGAATCAGAGTTGGTATCCATGCCCCTTGGGTCTCTCACTTGCTTTTTGCGGACGACTGTCTAGTCTTTTCTCAGGCAACAAGTGAAGGTGCAACCAGAATCAATGAGATTTTAGAAACATACAAAGAAGGTTCAGGACAGTTGGTGAATAAAGATAACTCGGCTATCTTTTTTAGTGCAAATTGCACAGATGAGATGAAGGCAGCAACTCATGATAGCTCAGGGATTGATGTAGAAGCGTTGATTGAAAAGTATCTTGGGCTGCCCACAGCTATTGGGCGCTCATCAGAGAGTCATTTTGAGCACATTGTCACGCAGATCAAGAAGCTAGTTAATGGGTGGACTCCAAAACTGATGAGTAGTGCAGCACGAGAAGTTCTAATCAAGTCTATATGCCAAGCAATCCCTACCTATTCAATGGGATGTTTTAGACTTTCCAAAAAGACCTGCAAAAAGATCACAAGTATTGTTGCAAGATTCTGGTGGGGAGGTGATGAAAAGAAAAAGGAAATGCATTGGAAAAGGTGGCAGGACATAGCTATCCCAAAATGTGAGGGGGGAATGGGCTTCCGAGATTTTGGCCTCTTTAATCAAGCCATGTTGGCTAAACAAGGGTGGCGACTTCTGACCAACCCTGAATCACTTTGTGCAAAGGTGCTTAAAGGCCGATATTATCATGATTCAGATTTCTTGGCAGCTAAAAAAAAGAGGAACTCCTCTCATACTTGGAGGGCAATACTACATGGGAGAGAATGCCTAAATCTAGGGCTGATTAAACGTGTTGGGGATGGTGCGAGTATTAACATCTGGGAGGACCCTTGGATTCCCTCCAATCATGGCTATCGGCCAATTATTTGGTTACCAGGGGCTGCATGCACCAAGGTGGAGGAGCTTATTGATCATGTGAATAATAGTTGGGATCTTGCTGCCTTGGAAGCAAACTTTGTTGCACCTGATGTGCATGCCATTGCTAAAACCCATAGGGAATTGGGGTGAAGATTGTTGGGCCTAGGAGGTGGAGAGGAATGGTAACTTTTCAGTTCGGTCGGCGTATAAAATTCTGAGCACAAGCATGAGACATGCCTACGAACCGTCTTCTTCAGGAGCGGCAGGAAATGCCTTATGGAACAAACTATGGAAGATAGCGGTACCACCAAGAGTCAGGAATTTTTGGTGGAGAGATATAAGGGGTTTTGTCCCCTGTAAGTCTGTCCTGCTTACCAGACATATTGAAAAGGCCCCATTCTGCTACCTATGTGGCAAGGAGGAAACTATAACTCATGCCCTGTTCGATTGCACTTGGGCGAGACTCTTTTGGAAGGAGATGAAGACCATGATGCAGATTAAAATCCCAGTGTTACATCCGCATTCGTGGGCTTCAGATTTGATTGAAGGAAAACTGGGATCAAACCAATTTGTATGCATAGTACTATGTGGCTGTTGGGCGGCATGGTCTGAAAGGAATGCTCGTACTCATGGTGAGAAGGGACGATCAGTTCAAGCTTCTATTAGATGGGCTCTTGATAATGCTGTTGATCTTACAACAACATGGGAAACTACCCGACCTGTGGTGACCAGGGAGGAAGATCGCTGGCAAGCACCAGAACAAGGAACTCTGAAAATCAATGTGGATGCGGCTTTTCTTGAGCAGGCAGGGTGTGGAAGTATAGGGCTGGTGGTCCGAGACTCAGAAGGCAACCTAATTAGAGCGCAGGCCTTGTGGTATCGTTTTGCATCAAGTGCCCAGACTATGGAGCTGTACGCTATTCGGGACGGGATTCAACTAGCCAGAGACATGGGTTACTCACAGATATGTATTGAAAGTGATGCTCAGCAGGTGGTTAGGATGTGCAACTCTAAACTTTCAGAGAGAGCAGCGGATGCAGCTGTTTGCCACGAAATCAAAGAGCTTGTGGGAGGATTTATGAGATGTGGTCTGGTGTTTGTACATAGGGAAGCCAATGAAGCGGCCCATCGGTGTGCAAAGCAAGCCACAGAAGGGAGGAGGAGATGCTTGTGGATAAATTATATGCCTCATTTCTTAGCTAGTTGTATTCAGCTCCCGTGTAATCCCCCCTAATTGAGTTATAAAGCTCTTGATTCGCAAAAAAGAAACAATGGACGTACCTGAGATTCGAACTCTAAACCTCAGGTTCACTACCAACCACGATAACCATTTGGGACCACTCACCTGTTGTGTGTGGTAAGTTATTTTCTCTTCTTTGTTGAGCGTCAAATGTAACACTAAAAAGAATACTTTGTTTTTTTCTTTTGGTGTTGTTTTGTCCAGTTTTTCTTTGGTTTTTACTCAGTTTTTTGTCTCCCTTTTTCTTTCCTTTTTCCAGTTTTTTTCCTTTTTTTTCAATGCATGAATTTCTTAAAACTTCCTGAACTTGTTTTTCAAATGCATGAAAAATCTCCATTTTGACTTTTTTTGTTTCATGAACTTTTTCAAATGCATGAACATTTTCAGTTTTGTGAGCTTTTTCAAAACATGAATGTTTTTTCTTCAAATCTATGATTTATTTTGGATTTGTGAACATTTTCAAAATCCGTGAACTTTTTTCAAGTCCCATAAACTTTTTTTGAACTCGTGGACTTCTTCGAATTCATGAAGTTTCTTTAATTTTCTTGTAATTTTAGCGTTGAACTTTTTTAGAGAACTTCGTGAACTTTTTTCCAAATTTCATGAAATTTTTAAAAATGTACAAACCTTTTCAAATCTGTCAATTTTTTCAAACCCACAATTTGTAAAAAAATTGAGAACTTTTTCTCCAATTAGCAAAATATTTTCAATTTCATGAACATTTTCAAGATCCATGAAAACTTTCAAATCCGTGAACTTTTTTGAACTCGCAAACTTTCTTACAAAACGTTTATTCTGCTTTTGTGAATGAGCGAACGAATGAGTCCACGTGAACGAACGAATGAATGAGTCCACGTGAGCGAACGAATGAATGAGTCCATGTGAACGAACATAACATGTGCGAATGAGTGGGCTTTGTGAATGCAACCGACTTGTGCGCGTAGTAGGCGCCAGACCGACTAATCGGCACTGGAGGCGCCTATAGCAGCTCTCCAATAAACTTGAGGTGTAAGTAACATCAATCTGATATGTCCCTGTCATTGGAATGGATCTTTATTTCCTTTTTTTTGGAATGCTAAAAATCTGATGACTAATTTTCAGTACCTCCAAGCGAACACCCTCACACATGTCAGATTATGTGTGCAAATCCTAAAACGTTTGGCCCAACGCACCCCTCTAAGTGAATTACGAGTTAGGGCACTAAAGCAGTTTGCTTCGGATGGCAATCCTAGCGAACACATTCGGAATGGCAATTTGTGTGTTTGGAGCTTGGCAATTTCACCTTTGTTGTTTATATAGCCTCGCAATTCCCTTCAGCCAACATGGCAAATCCTGAGAATAGCAATTTTTACCATTCTTCGAGTGGCAATTATACCAAAACACTAAAACCGCATGGGAATTACTCTGCTCCAACATGATAATTTTCTCACAAACTTTTATACAACAGGACAAGAACATGGCAAATCATTATATAACAGCATGTCAAATTTATCTTTTTTCGCAAGCCAATTTTGGAGCATTTGCTGGATTGGCTTTTTTTAAGCAAACCAAAACGTTCATTCGTTCCTACCTGGTTGTGGGAACGATCGTTCGCTCGATTTATTACCCTGAGGAAACGTCAGATGTTTATTAGCGCCCTTTTTCAGTAAGGGAACGGTTCTTTGCTTACGAGACCTCCAACGGTTCGCTCTCTCGACAAAATGCTGGAAATACACAAGTGTCTGCTTTCCTAGGCTGGCACAGCTCGAGCGTTCTTTAGCGAGCACTCTTTGTTGGTGCATGTGTTCATATTTATTTTATTTATATACTTTCGGTGTTGGTACTATTTTAACCAGTTTTATCATAAATATGAAATTTTTCCCATAAATTTAAAATTGATCAAGAAATTTATTCAAAAATATTCATGGATTTCAAAAACCTTCGTAAATTCTAAAAATCTTTGCAATCTAGAAAATGTTTGCGAGTCTAAAATATATTCACGTGTTTAAAACATGTTCTTGAAGTATACAATTGTTAGTGTATTTTAAAATATTTACATATTTTTAAAAACTATTCTCAAATTTCTAAAAATATCATGAATTGAGAAAAAAATCCAAATACTCAAAAAATATTTTCATTCTTTAATGTTCATATCAAAAATTGTTATCGGAATTTAAGAAGATGTTTTATTTATTTATTTGTCAAAGAATTTCTAATTTTAAAAGTTAACCAAAAATTGAGGAATAAAAAATGAATTAGAAAAATGAAAGAGAAAATATGAAGGAAAACGAGAATAAACCAAAAGAAAAGCCAACAAAAATAGTAAAGCAAAACGATACTAAAACGCAGCAAAATCAAGCTCACTTGTAAGCCGCTGTTAATGAGCCGGCCCAGCTAACATGTCATTGTACGGCTTTAGGACGTAGGCCGAGCTCGCCTAAAGGAGTCAGTAACGGAGCGACCTAGTAGCCATATTATTTTGTCACGCTGACATCACATATGTGTTTTTTCTCTTGTTTATCTTTTGAAAAAATAATTTATACATGTATTATGTAAAAAATTTAATTTTTTGAAAGTGTTCACCGCATATAAAAAATTTTCATGCAAAAAAAATCACTCAACTTTTAGAAAATGTTTCTACCATTCAAAACAAAATATGTGACAAAAGAAAATCACGTGCTTGATGAAAATCTAAGTGGCATTTTTTTTAAAATTATACAATATAAAAATCATGTAATAAATCAAAATATTTAAAAATGTGCATGCGTTTCAAAACTATGTTTATGACATTAAAAAAAATCCTAAATGTAAAAATTGTCTATATTTAAAAAAATGTTTTGTATCATTCAAAATTTGTTTTCATGTGCAGTTGAAAAATGTTTAACACGTATTGAAAAAGTAGGCATCAAAACTTATATTTAAAAAATCTTTAATATGTGTAAAGTATGTATCCGATGTATAAGGAAAATGTACAATGTGCATGAAAAAATTAGACATATATTGAAAAAAAAGAAAAAAAACTGAAGAAAATCGGCGTACATGCACCGCCTAAGGCCCCCGGGTGGTGCTGGCTGCGGCGGCAAAGCCTCCACTAGGGCTTGCGTTGGGAGACAACCAGGAGCATCACCGTGGGATTGCATTGTGGTCCTCATACCTTAGCTTGACAATTTCATTGATTTAGGCATCGGTTGTGTGTGGAAGCTCCGGTGACCACTAACGGGGACGGACATAGTGTCCGCCTTGAGCTCCAATGGGTGTGGCTCCCTCGAGCGACGGTGGCGAAGGATGAGGACGTGGTAGACGGTTTGGTAGGTAATCGACGAATGATGGTGGAAGGGGACTAGGGATTTGGGAGAGGGGAACTTTCACGGCATCATGTACAAATGTACTACACAATGTTTTTGCAACAACAACAAAAACACATGCAAGTTCTCAATTTAATCTTGAATACGGTTATCAAGTGTATTTTAAGGACAAGTCCAGTGACCACCAATGAATTTCACTCTGCTATTGGCCTGCTGACACATACGTGGACAGTCAATCAATCAAACAGTACATGATGTTAGCAGAATACGGAGCCAAATGTATGTGGTGACCGTAGGTGTACACTAATATGACTTTCATGACCGTATTTTGGGAGTTCTATGTCCAGTGACCAAAGTGAAATTTGGGAACGAGTTCGTGACCTAATTTTTGTCTCCCTAAGCAGCCGTGTGCAAATTAATGTTAGAAAAAAAGAACCATTTTTTCACTCGAACACCCGTTGTATAAGGTTTTAGAGCCCGGCCTAGGAAATATGCGCTGAGTTTAAGCAATGAAACTTATAGCAACTTCTGTATTATCCTAATAAAACAACTTCTGTATGACTTAATATTAACAACTCAGTGAAAACTCTTAAAGAAAGAACTTAGGGTTCCTCCGCCTCACATCGCCGTCGCCTCATGTTGGCTGGCCCTAGGGCCATGGAGGCGTGGTGGACCCGGTTCCTTGTCGGCGGGAGGGATCTTGCTCTGTGTTTTTGTGAGTTCGTTTAGGGTTTGTGCCATTCTCAGGAAGACGAGGCGGTGGCGGCTCAAGATGGAATAAGTTTCTCTCGGCCTGGCCCCTATTCCGGTGATGCGTCCACCGTCATCGGAGGGTGTCTGGAGGTTAGTCTTCAGCGGATCTCGTGGGAATCAGTCGGTGCTAGTCTTTGGTGGATCCGTTTGGGTCCAGTCTTTTTTTGTCTTCGTTTCTTGTGTGTCTATAAGTTGGATACTTTCGATCTATACTTATCTTCATTGATGACGGGTGTTGTTCTGGTGCACTGGTACTCCTTAGCACGACGACTTTTCGACTATCTGCTACAACACGTTTGGCCCGACTCCTGTGAGGGAGAGGTGATGACGGCGGCACACCTTCGGCTTGCTCCAATCCTTGTAGTCCTCGCTACTTGGTCTACGGATATAGAAGCAATTTTTATTATTTCTGTGTTCTTTGTACTGTATAGATAGATCGGAATTTTTTCTAATAAAAAAAACTCACGTGAAATGTGCTTTCACCGACGTGAAGACGTGTTTCATTGACGACACTGGAAAATGTTTTCATTCCGGCAAAAAGATTGTTCCCATCACGTAGCAGGAAAACGTGGTTGGAAACGAAAATATATGTTCGCGTGAACGAGAACCATCGGATGCTCCAGAGGAAATTAAACTGTTAGCTAGCGCTTTCCTCAAAAAAAAAAAAAACTGTTAGCTAGCGCTAATTCAGCTATTTGCAGTTTGTAGACAGCGGCGGGGTTCTTTGAATCTGCCATGATCAAATCCACTCTGCTGGTTAGCTAGGGTTACGGCCACCGGCCCTTCCAGAGTCTGGAGACGGCGCGCGCATGGCCGGAGACGACGCGTCGACGGGGACGGAGGTGGACGCGGGGGGCTTCGAGTTCGCCTTCGACAACGAGGCCTTCTCCGACAGGGTCCTGCGTATAGAGATCGTCGGCAGCCACGACGCGCCCGCCTCCGGCGCCAGCCGCAAGCGCCGCCGCGAGGACGCCGATGGTGCGTACGGGCACAGTACCATTAGCCACTGGACGTGATTAGGATGTGGATTTCTCCTGGCTTATTTGGGGGGTTTCAGCTACATTTCTTTGTTTGTTTAAAAGGGGAAGGAGATGCAATATTGATACATTTTATTTATACAAGTTCCTTTTTAGTTTTAGATTTCTAGGTGGTGTGGGTTACTCTAAAATGCATTCCATTTTCTCTGACGTAATTTTATTCAGAAGAACAGTTAACAAACCAGTACTGGTACATATGTTTGCCCATACGTCCAATTGCAGCATTGGTGTTCAAACTACATCATACCATTATACAAGTTGAGAATAGCAGCTGGACAACTAAACAGATTTGGAATAATATGTATGTGATAAGTTCGTGTATATCGCTGTTGAGGTACATACATACAGGTCATGTGTCTTAACTCTTAACTCTTATGCATATGGCCCGTCTGGCGTGTAATCAGGTCTGATCTTGGTAGCACAATGCTTCAGCCTTAGATTAAAGGAACAAGGTGACCAGTTATTTTACATCTTCCACAAGAAAAATGTGTTGCTTGATGACTAATGTCTGAATCTGCTAATAATTGTGTGTTTTAATGAAAAATCAATAGGTCCAGAACAAAAAGGCAAGAGCAAATTATTATCAAATGTGTCATCGACACGTCGAATGTATACCTGGAAGTTGGAACATGAAGTGATTATTTCATGATTATATGATCCTTCATAGATTTAGTGTGACAGCAAAATTTCTCTAGTAATTCTGCTATGTGCCTTCCACCGTTCTACCCCCTAGTTTTGCATGGCTCTCTGTGTTTATCTGCTTTGTTTTTTTGCAGGCGATGATGGAAAAGATATCGACTCCTCTTGTACTGTAATGGCACTAATGGGTACACCAGTCTTACGAGTCAATACCATACATATTAGTTCGGCGATTCTTGCAGCACAAAGTACTTTTTTTCTCAAGGTAATTCTGATGAACTGAAATGCATTTGTTCTATCATCAGTGAAATTAGCTTTCTGATAAGCTGCGTGCTTCTCAGCTTTTCTCAAATGGCATGAAAGAGTCTGACCAGAGACATGCAACAGTTACAATTGCTGATTCAGGTACAGTGTTCACTCTAGTCTGACAATCTTCATCTTATATTCTTATAACTGATGATTCCAGTTTCCTATTGTTATCATATTGTTCATTTATTTATTTATTTAAAAATATAATTACCTCTTGTAGAATTTAAAAGATGATTGCTTATGTTAGAGAGGGGGCTGTGATTTTGATGATAAATTTGTTACTCTCATTTCCCCCACAGACCTTATCTCTGAAGTCGATATTTTTTATTCTTTTATGCATTATTATAGTTTCTCCCAACTAATTACATAACCATCTATGCATAGAAAATAGCTATCCCTTTTCTTTTGTACTCCCTCCGTTCCTAAATATAAGTCCTTTTAGAGATTTTAAATGGACTACAACATACGGATATATATAGACATATTTTAGAGCGCAGATTCACTCATTTTGCTCCGTATGTAGTCCCTTGTTGGAATTTCTAAAAAGACTTACATTTGGGAACGGAGGGAGTACTTCTTTATTTAACTGTTACCAGTTTGAGATGTATTGAACCGTTTCATTAGTCCTTATGCCTCCTTGCTTTCATGTTTTACTTGGAACAGAGGAAAAGGCCTTCATTGAGCTTTTACGCTTTATGTATAGTGGAAAGTTGACACCAACAACCGAGCCCACTCTTCTGGTTGATATTTTGATGGCTGCTGATAAATTTGAGGTTGTATCTTGCATGAAGCTCTGCGGTCAGCGGCTCATAGACCAGCCTATGACGCCAGAATCGGCAGTGAGGTGCCTAGATATCCCACGTTCCATCTCAATGGCATCTGCCGTCAAAGAGGTAGCCAAGACATTCCTTGCTGAAAGGTACAAGGAATTCCTGTCAACAAAGTAAGTGATCCCCATTTGATTTTCAGATATACAGTATCTTTTATCCTTTTTGAGGAAACATGTGGACGTTGTTGTGACAAAATCATTATCTCAAGGCATGGTTTAATCTCATTTCAGGTTCCAAGATGAACTGATGAGGATCCCTCTCGCTGGGATTCAGGTCATCTTATCAAGGAACCGCCTCGGGATTGAATCTGAAGGATCCATCTATGATTTCCTGCTCAGGTGGGCCTGTTTGCAGTACCCAAATTCAGAACAGAGACACAAGATCTTGAGTTCACGGCTACTTCCACTGGTGCCACGAACTCTCAGTATGACGGATGCCGTTCTAATTGATCACCCGTCTTGTATAATCAACTTTACCATAAAGCGCGAGAAGTGCTTGGGGCTCTTCCCGTCAGGAGTTCTGCGTTCGCAGCCGTTCCATTGCGCGGGGCGTGGCTTCTGCCTCCTGGCAGACTGCAAGATGATAGAGCAAGTACCATTTTTTGCCATCTTAGTAAAGATGCTAGAAGAAGACAGGGGGGCAGCCAGCGGGGCAATAGATTATATCATCGGGTTTAAGACCAGACCGTCACTCAAGTTCTCCACCAAGCACTGTCGCGCCACCACCAGCAATATTAGGCGAGGTGTTGGATGCATGATTCCTTGGTCGAAGTTCATTGCTGACGACAGCCACTTCATTGACGGCAAAGTCCATCTGCGGGTTCAGGTGAAGATAACGCCGGAGCCATAGTGATGCGCGCATTAGCCATAAGCTTTATGCGCCTTGCTGAAGTCCCTCTTTGTTTGTTTTTGTGGGCGAGGAGAAGCCATTGTTATGTGAAGCATGAAGAAATCTCAACTGGGGTGTTCCGGTATTTTGCTAGCATTTGTTCTCTCTTTGGTAACTGGATTCTACTAGCATGAAATCATCTGGAATTTGTTGCTAGAGGTTTCACCATCTCAAGTACCAGATGCTAAACTTTGAAGTGTGCGCATGTGTTTTGCTATGCAGTGATTCTATGGATTATAGTTCTTGGCGAATATTATGTGATCATCTGTTGATGATGATTATCTCTGGACATTTTAGTACTATTTTCATAGCGGTTGATACGTTTCTCTTTTAACAATATGTGCGCTCGCATAATACGAAATTGGCAACTGTGATCACAAGTCTGTTGCTTTGATAATTAGGAATTTCAGCGTTTTTTACTGGAATTAATTAATGTTTGCTATGCAGTGATTCCATGCTTTGTTTTGAACACTAGCATTTGTTGTTGGAGGTTTGACGGTCTCGCGTGCTCTTACCGGCCTCATAACCATCAGCGCAAAATTATGTTCAGAAGTCCATTCACTAATTGGCCGAATGTATCCAGCACCCTTTATCTGAATGTGATTGTTGTGACTAGGCTGGCAGTTGCCAGTACACCACAACTGAAAGCCGCCTTCGAGTGCCATGTCTTTTTGGTATGTTTTTCAGTTGCTGTTGCCTGTTCATTTGTTAGTACTTATTTCTGTACATGTCTGGATTTGTTACTTGCAGGCTGATTTTGATGTTGATATACCCAAACACCCTTGAATGAAGAAGATTACTCTAGCATGTTGATCTTAAGTAGTACTCCCTCCGTTACTAAATATAAGTCTTTTTAGACATTTCAAATGGGCTACGACATACGGATGTATGTAGACATATTCTAGAGCATAGATTCACCCATTTTGCTCCGTATGTAGTCGCTTGTTGTAATCCCTAAAAAGACTTATATTTGGGAACGGAGGGAGTACCATCGAGCAGCAGCTTGAGCTTTCAGGTTCAGGGTTTCTGTTGAAAGGTACTCCCTCCGTCCGGAAATACTTGTCACATAAATGGATAAAAATGGATGTATTTAAGAACTAAAATACGTCTAGATACATTCATTTCGCTGACAAGTATTTCCGGACGGAGGGAGTAGTACTACAATAGCATGGATGAAACCTGGAATCTTAACAGCATGGTGATTCACCAGAAACAAACCATTCTTGAAATCAGTCGCAAGAAGAAAGAAAAAGGAGAATCTGCTGCTTAGTAGTACAAAATGGAGCCGGTGATAAGGGCTAGCAAGCAAGAATAATCTAAATAAAATTAGTATGCTGATTAGTACTATTCCTCCGTCCCAAAATTCTTGTCTTAGATTTGTCTAAATAGGATGTATCAGATCATGTTTTAATATTAGATACATCTATATCTAGGCAAATCTAAGACAATAATTTTGGGACGGAGGGAGTATTTCGCATCCAAGTTGAAGGAAAGGGCACCACAAAAACATGCATGTAGCACCGCCAATGCAAGACAATACTACTAATAAATTAAAAATCGAGAGGCACCACAAAAAACATGCATGTAGCACCACCACCGCAAGACAATAATAACAAATTAAAAATTAATGCTGATTACTCATTTATATGGTACGTTTCAAAAGAAAATAATAATAACAACAACAACAAATACTAAAAGGAGAAGGGAAATGCAAAACAAAAAGGAGAAGCACGCCCAGTGGGACTCGAACCAACAATCGCCTGATTAGAAGTCAGACGCCTTATCCATTAGGCCATGGGCGCTGCTGTGCACAGTAAATAAAACCTATGCTAAAATCAGATACCAGGAGCAACAGTAATCGGGTGGACAATTGCCGGAAGGCCTCGCGTGGAACATACGTAACAAACCATCCTGGCCAGAGAAACGGAAAAGGCAAGAAACATGGCAGACAACGACACCTTGAGCTATTTCCTTCACAAGTTGACAACAATCAAGCTTAGGCCCAACGAGTTGACAACATGGAATGGAAGACTGGCTCTTGACCCGAAATGCTCAAGCAAGAAGCAAACGGACACCGGGGGCTCCTTGATCAGACATTCTGGGGCCGATGGCTTACATCAAGTTCCATTCCCGGTATCTGAAATCGAAACCGGTAAACATCAAAGTTCAGGTATTTGCCGATGTTCTTCGCTGGCCCGTCCCCGGTGCCAGCTCCATTTTCACGGCACGACACGACCAACCAGCAGCTGTCATTGCGAGCGACAGGTCGCTGGAGTCTGACAAAAAGATCAAGTATCATCAAACTTGTTGGCACCACAGAGTACACACTCACATGAGTGTCCCCGATTCCACAGGGCAAGGCACTGGTTGGATGGTGCTTACTTATTCCATCAGCTATGGTATGTCCGAAAAGTTGCATCTACTATGCTGACTGCAAGTTCATAAGGAGATCTTGCAGCAGTTCCCACGAGCCACGCCTACGATTGACAATGTGAGTATGTATATGACCATATATAGCAAAGCAATGGAATTCCATGTCCATTGGTGTTGGTGAAGAAAGGCAGATGCTCAGTGCTGTCCATGATGATCCGAAGAGGCCAACTGCAGACCAGACCATGCAGATGGACATCATGAAGTATGCATTCCTCTCGACGGCAATGGATCTCTCCTGCCGGCCGGCCGGCCGGGGATCAGGACGCCCTATTGGTGCTGTTCAGGAAAGACAGCCTCCTCCGGGCGACCTTGGACCTGTAGCACCAGGCGTCGAACGCCTCCGACAGGTCCGGGAACGCGGCGTGCTTCGACTGAAGCCACTCCGACAGCACCTCGGCCTGGGTGTTCGACGGCAGCGTCGTCACGATCGAGGTGATCGCCGACTCCAGCCCCTGCCACACCTCGCCGTCCAGGCCGATCTTTGCTGCTGCTGCTGCTGCTGATGCTGATGCAGCTTCGGCTTCAGTGTCTCCGTCGCCATTATTACCGTCCTCGTCGTCGCCGTCGCCGTCGTCGTTGCCACGATCGGCTTCATCCACCAGATGCCTCGTTGTCCCGGCGAAGCCGATCCAGACGCTCACGGCGTGGCGCCGCTTCTCCGCCGGGAGGACGACGTTGCCGAACGCGACGGCCTCCAGGACCTTCGCGGATATCTCCACGACCTTCAGCCTGGTCTTCAGACATTCAGGCCCCGGGTGGCACTCCGCCGCCGCCGCCTCGACGGCCGCGACGACGGCCGACGATGCTTCCACCCAGTAGGCTGCGAGGAATTTCATCATCTCCAGCTTGCCCAGGACCTGGCAGACCCAGGCGATGTCGGAGACGAAGGAGTGCAGATCCTGCTGAAGCTCGCCGGAGCAAGGGGCCTCCCTCTGCTTCGTCAGTGCGGAGCTGGTGAAATTGCTGAAGCTGTTCAGTAGGCCTGTCACGCAGCCCTTCACCTGAGACTTGACGGCGTCGCTGCTGCCGGCGCCGAAGGCGAGCAGCGGCGCGTCGTCGTCCTCGGTGAGCATGTACTCCAGCTGCTCCTGGGCGGCGGGCTTGAGCTCCCGCGAGGCGGCCGACGGCGCGGCCGTCGCGTGGCGGAAGGCGGAGAGGAAGATGGCGGTGGCGGGGGCCGGATCGGCGGGGCGGAGGCGCGCGAGGACGCGGGCGCGGTGCGCGCCGAGGCGCGGGGCGGCGGCGAGGATCTCCTCCTCGTCGGCCTCGTCCCAGGGGGCGGACTCGAGGTAGTCGGCGCAGGCGGCGGCGGTGCGGGCGCAGGCGAGGTGCGCGGCGGCGTCGAGCAGGGAGAGCGCGCCGCGGACGCCGAAGCGGGAGACGGGCTCGGCGGCGTAGAGGAGGCGGAGCGCGGTGACGTGGGAGCTGAGGTCGGCGTCGCGGCAGTGGACCTCGACGCAGTAGCGGGAGTCGAGGATCTGGCACGTCGGCCAGGCGTCGGAGAGGCGGTCGGCGAAGTAGGCGCTCCCGGCGGCGAGCACGCGGGTGTGGCAGTAGAGCCACTCGTCCCGGCCCGAGTCCGGCGTCCGCAGCCGCACCACCACGTCGCTCGTCGCCCTGTCGCCGATCTTGGGCCGCGCCGCCGCCCTCATGCCTCCTGCTGGATTTGGGGACTGGACTGGTACTGGTGGCCACAGCGAACAACAACTCACTCACTTTGTAACTGAAGAAAAGATATAACTGAAACCACAATCAGAATTCAGAAGTCAGCTATACTGTAATTTGTAGCTGCTAGTAACTGTATAATTCAGTGCTAGTTTTACATGAATTTCACACAAAACTGTCGAATCCCCGCAGAAACAGGGGGAAAATATCAAGCTTCAGATTCCTTCAGAACTAAGTTCATATTGTTACAGTGACATACACAAAAGGGATGTGTCATGTGTGTTATACATTAGTAGGATATCTGGATGATCTATGGCACTGGAAACTCCAACATTTCTTCTTATGTACGTACTAGATTTACAACAAAAACAGGTATTCGGAACAATGCGTCGCGCATCGGAGAGCGAGATGATGGCTTCAGTCGAAATGGTCGGCGGAGAAATCGGGCTCGTCGGGCTTCTGCAGCCTGCGGATCATGGTGTCGTCGGCGCGGAACCTCCTGGACGCGGAGCCAAACTTGTGCATCTCGGCGGCGGTCCTCGAGGTGCCCTCCTGCTTAGGCTTATCGGCGGCCGGGTGCTCCTCCGACCACCACGAGTAGGACTCCCACCGGCTCAGGCTCTCCGACAGCTTCCTCCGCTGGTGCTGCCGCCACGCCGCCTGGATGAAGCAGGCGCCCCACGTCCTCCAGTGGTGGGAGTAGAACCGGAACGTGTGCTGGAGCTTCTTGCTGTGGAGCCTCCGGAACTGGTTCGCCACGAACTTGAGGTCCTCGGCACGCAGCGCGAAGGCCTCCACCTCCGTCAGGCTCCGGACGGTCCTTGTGGAGAGCGGGAAGTGGATGTTGGTCTTTGGCAGCAGGGCCCAGGTGAGCAGCTCCTCACCGGCGAATTCACCAGGTCGTAGGAGGATGGAGTTGAAGAAGTTGCTCCGGCCTCCGTTGGTCGTGGAGCTCTCCAGCTTGCCGCGGATTATGAAGAGCATCTCGCTCACAGGATCGCCCTCGCGAGAAATGTATGTGCCCTCCGGGCACAGGAACGACACCAGCCGCTCGCAGATGGCGTCCAGGAGTTGGTCGTCCATCTCAGCGAAGAAAGGGACCTACATTTTACAAAGAAAGATCAGAAACTCGCCAAGGAACAAGAGACAGAATTTGAATTTGAGTGCCCCAGTACAGAATGTTCTATCAAGACCTTTGAGAAACTAAAAAAGTTTTACTTGTTCAGTCATCGGATAGGGGTATAACTCCAACTTACACGTCGAACAAGATCCAAACAAAGATGGCGCTGTACATCCCGACGTATATCAGCAGGCAAAGCTTGCAAGATGGATTCCTCTTCCACTCCACGCGTTGCAAGCCATTTAACTTGAACAAACCGCTGGACGCGTTCTTGAAGGTCGGGTGGGAGCCGGTGATGTCTCATCCACTCCTCCATGTCCCGTTGCCTCAACCTCCACTCTTCAAGCCTTTTGCTAACAGACTGCAAGTATGTCTAAAAGATGAAAATGAAAAGGTAAGTAGCTGTCAAAGTGGAGATGGCTTACTGCACATACAGAGCAGAAGAAGCTTTATGTTATTTTAATCATTTCAAACCATTAAATGCAAGTTCATACATCACACGAGCCTGATGCATCCATTAAGAAGAACAATACAATACAATCCATGATAGCACTACACAGAATAGCATTGATAATATTAACACTTCCGCACAACAACAAATGTAGCATAACAAACTTGTTGAGCTGAAGGCTGCTACCAAGTTATCAAATAGTGCAATAAGTTTGCTACGCTTAGCCGATCCACAGGGTAACTAAGTAACGAGTATAATAAATAAAATAAGAATCATCAGCTTTGATGCCTCCATTTCTAGTTTAGAGCAGAGAATTTCGTAATATTACCTGCATTTTACCAATCAGCTGAGCAAAGAGTATGAGACTGATAGCTCCAATTGCAATAGCAAATATGTTCTCTACGATGAATGCACTTGTTTGAAGAGGATTTCCGCTTGAACTGAAAAGGTGACAACAAACACCAAATAGACCTGGTTAACCATATTCAAGACACAGAAACTTATGCACAATAACTCCAAAGTAACAGAAGATAATGATGGAACCCTACCTAAGTTGCAACAAGCCCCACCACAGACAATAGAAGTACTTCTCTTGGAATGAAGTTGAGACAGCACCCTTAGTCAATGCACTCGAGAACATTCCGTAATTAAATTTTGGAGGATCAGCAGTGGCATCACAGTTGTTAAATATCTGCGTTTTACTTTGCCACTCAAGATAACTCCTCGAACCAGTATTCTCGCAACTTATAAACCCAATGTTACAAGACGCATTGCTCGACTCAGCAAGGCACTGCTGATTCCAACATGTAATCTGCCGTTCAATGGAGAGAAGATAGTATATTGCCCCGGTAATCTGCAGTGATGCACACAGGTCAGAAGTGACACTGAAGTATTTATTGCACAAAAGTGAGCAAAGAAATGCAAGATGATAGTGATAGTCTTCTGCTTCTAGCTCACATGCATGTCTACCACCAACAGTTTTGTCTATATCTTCAGATTTTAATAAGTAATAATGCATTCCAGGAAAACAAATACACATGAATTATTCTCTTTTGGCCTATTCCAGTTACGAGATGAGGTATGAAAAACCTAATGAACTGATATTTTAGGTTCCATATTTAGCAGAGGCGACTTCTACTTATCTTTCAGTTGTACATAGAATTACAAACTACATGAGCTGCAAATTCCCTAGAACTTTATTCTGAGTAAGTGACTAGGAATTGATTACACGGCTGAGGTAATGGTTGAGGTGACCATACATGACTTGCAAGCATGTAGAGCAGAAGATTGTATGCTGCTCCTCCCCAGGCTGACTTTGCAACTACTCCGGCAGCTTTGATGATTTGATTGCTTAAAGGTACAACGAGATACATTCTTAAGACATACTGAACCAAAATAATAAGAGCATATGTAGTGTTTTGGATGTTATAATCTGAGCGTTTAATCCCAGGCATGATTAACCAAACAGTAACCTGCAAAAAAAACAGAAGATTCACATTATCACTGTAGATTTAACAATCAAGTAATAGATATTCAATATTTGGGATAATTAGTCGTCAAACAATTCAGTTATACAGATAACTTTATTTTGCATAAAGTTTGGCTGAAATAAGTTGGCAATTCTAGATTTCATAAACTCCTAACATTTACAAATTATCTAAGTGGCGATTAACAGATGAAGTACGAAAAGGAAAAAAGACCTATGGGATATAAGTGGCAGTTAACAGAAAATAAATCTTTTGGGTATTTTTTGACTCTTTGCAGAGGAAACCTAGTTGGGTCCACCTTTTAAAAGTTTCGATTTTCTGGTTAAATTCATGTGGTTAATGTAAAAACAAGAGGCACTGTCCAGATGTCTTGGTTTGGAAAGCGAATCAAAGGGAAAGAATCCAATAGGCTCAACTAAAGGCTTGCTGTTCAGTGCTCACCCAACGAACCATACCAATCTTTGCCACAAAGATGATAACGAATCAATTTAAGTACGAAAGAATATGGATATTAACACTGAAGCTGGAAAAGTGGAATATACTTAAGGTAGTTGCCATGAAAAATGCGACAAGTGCCGCAACAAGATTCGAGTTATTTACCTGTGGAAGTGGTATGGCTGCAAGTATGTCTATACAGAGATCTGATGTGACGTATCTTCTTTGAATCTTCTTTAGATCCACAATAAGCTCTCCCTTCCCTAGGACTCTGGACTTTGGGTCTACATATGCAGTATGGAACTTTATCGCAATGTTGAGCACATAAAACAAGTCAGCGAGTGTCCGCAGAACGGTCATAGTATTTCTCAATCGTTGGTCCTCGGCAACACACGAAACACCAGTGCTTTGGTCCATGACTCTGACAAATGGCAGGTAGTAGAAGAAAGGGTCAATGAAGAGCGCGAAGAGACAGGCCACCAGGTACACCCTGTTCCATGTCAGCAGCACGCTGCTTCTGGGGTCGAGGATGCGGCTGTGCCATGGCACGTTGCCCTCATTCATCAATTTGAGCTTCTCGAGGGTCTTTGGGTCTATCCTGTTGGCAGCGAATCTGTCGACCCGTCCGGCTTGAAACGGCATCTTGGATTGATCCTGCCTCTCATCGGGAAAGATCCTGAAGACAGAGTAGAAGAGCAACTTAGAGAAGTGCTAAAAACTGCACAACGTCGACATGGTCTGTGGATACTGAGAGCTCCCACAGGAACAGATGACAATAGGAGTTGTTCTCATCTGCAATCTCCTGGTAACTAGGTAGCATCGCAATGACATAATGTTTCATTTTGGTCCTTAATTCCTCGATGCACGGAAACCGGTAGATAAATGAAGTAAGCTGAGTCAAAAATATAGCCTATTTCACTTTTGGTCCTTAATTTCTGGATGCATACAAATGAGTACTAGTAGCAAACAAACATGCATATGCTAGAACATAGGGAAGCAAAATGAGCTCTCACGTTCCTATTCCCAGCTCCAAAACTACCACCACTCCCCAACGTACTGTACGCCTTGTCAAGCCTAAGCAACCAAAACTCGAATTCGGCTGGTTCAATCCCCCGAGGCAGCAACGAAGCAGACGCCGAAGCTAAATCCTGCCAACTCCAACTCACTACAACTTACTCCAACTCAAACCATGGCCAGAATCCTCCTCTCCCCCTAAGTCAACACCTAGTCCAAGCAAAAATAATCTAACGCGGCATCCTCGATCGTCCCAGGAGGGCCGTCCCTCCTCTTCACGGGCAGCGTTCCGGGGAGGCCCCGTGCCGCTAAATCCAGCCGCCCACGAGAGCCGAGAGAACGCGGGCACGCACCTGTTGGTCGTCCGCCGCTGCTGCATCTCCACCCCATCCTGGACCCGGGACCCAAACATGGCGTCCGCCGCCGCCGCTCCTCCGAATCTCGCGCGGCCGGTCAGGGGAGCGGGGCACGGAGAGCGCGGCGAAGCTTGTGGCGCTGCTGCCGGCCGCGGATCGCCACCATGCCACGACGAGCTCGCGCGCGCGGGTCCGGTGATTCGGCGGAGAAAGGCTGTTGCCTTTGCAGTTGTTTCTTTTTTTTTTTCGGGAGAGGAAAGGTTGGACCGAGCGGACCAGACGACGGCTGCCTGTTCGTTCGTGGAAGTGTCTGCCGAAAGCTCGGGGTGCCCACACGGCCAAAAAATCCCTCACACTCGCAGGTGGGGTCCGATATTTTCATTGCAAGGTCAATCCATCCTTCCCCCTTCAGACCGACACAAATGCATGTCGATTTGGACATTGACACGGTCTCCATGATGTAGCTCTGACCTTCTATTGTTATTGAGATACTCCGACGACTCGAATGAAAATGATTATAAATCACAAAACAATGTTCTATTCGGGTCTATCCATATGGATTTCGCGGCGGCGGTGTTGGTCCGGTTCTTCATGGCGATGGAAGAATGTTTGACCGGCAAGGATCCTAAACCGCCTTACGCACACGACTGAATGGAGTGCTCATTCTTGGACGAGGGGTCTACCCAGGTGGATAGTACCATATGGTTCCAAAGTCTACTTTTGTCAGCGCATCTTGGTTCAAGCCCAACGTCTGGCTCAGTCATCATCATGCACCGCCAGCTTGTCATGATAGTCCTCTCTCTATGCGTGGGGACTCTGATAAACTTCAATCTAGGTCAAAATAATTATGAGGATGGTCTTGTGAGAGACAAAGATAGGGTTTGAATGGCAAATTGCACATGCAAAATTAAGTTCGGGAATTCAACTACTTAGTGTTTGTTCGGTTATCCTCACCCTTGCCGGGATCTGTTCAAAATCCTGCAAATCCACGTGGTTTTGAGTTAGCCCGAGTTTGGATCCATGGACTCATCGGTGGAGATCGACGGGGGAGGGGGAAGGCTTTGCCTAAGTCGCCTTGCAAGGGAGGGGGAGAAAAGCATGCATAGAAGGAGGGGCTACACACCGTAATTTTCTCCATTATTATTCAAACAACTCTACCAATAGACACATGTGAATTACGATTGTTCAAAGAGCAGCTTTTTGTCCCAAGCGAGGATCATTACTAAATCATAAGACCAAACAACACACATTTAATCACGAAAACACAAGTAAAACTAGCAATGCCAATATTCGTCAACAAGCTTCTCGCGAAACACTTTGTATATTGAAGAGATTTTTGTTTTGTATGATTCAGAAATTTCTCTCACGCGGTCTACCAGATTTCGTCGACGTGAAATGAGGTAAAAGACGGTTGCAGAATATGTGACCCTAATATCATGGTCGACAAGGTGGTCTTCTTCTTAGAGGAATGAACAACTGCTCCTAAGCGTATTCAGGCTTTTCATCCGCCCCCCGACAAGGTCTCCTTGGACTCCTCCTGAGGATGGGTGGGTCAAGGCCAATGCTGACAAGGCAACACTTAAATCGGCGACAGAGGAGGTGAGGTGTTGTCCTTAGGAACCATAGGGCATCTTCATTGCGGGAGCATGACAGTTTTTTCCACCAAAACTAAGCCATAGTTAGCAGACGTCAAGGTGTGTTGCCGAGTGGTGTAGCTAGCCGAAGAGTTGAGCATAGACAATCTAGTGATGGAGACCGACTACCAAGTTGTGGCAGCCAAACTCAATCTAACGCGAGAGACTTTTAGTGTATGGACCTATGATTGAGGAAGTAAGGGGTAGGGGTTGTTGTCCTCTAAAGGAGCCTACAAGGTTCGATGGGTACGACGTTCGGCAAAAGTAGCTCACATTTACGCTAAGGAAGGTTGGGGCAATGTTGTGTAAGACATGGCTGCATGTACCCATTGTTGGGGAACGTAGCATGCAATTTCAAAAAAATTCCTACGATCACGCAAGATATATCTAACTGATGCATAGCAACGAGAGGGGGAGAGTGTGTCCACGTACCCTCATAAACCGAAAGCGGAAGCGTTAGTATAATGTGGTTGATGTAGTCGAACATCTTCGCGATCTAACCGATCTAGTACCGAACGTACGACACCTCCGAGTTCGGCACACGTTCAGCTCTCAATGACGTTCCTCGAACTCTTGATCCAGTAGAGGGTCGAGGGAGAGTTTCATCAACACGACATCATGGTGACGGTGATGGTGATGTGATCCGCGCAGGGCTTCGCCTAAGCACTATGTGAATATGACCGGAGGAGTAAACTATGGAGAGAGACGCCGCACACAGCTTGGAACAATTGGTGTGTCTCCAAGGGGTGCCCTACCCACGTATATAAAGGAGGGAGAGGAGGAGGCCGGCCACCAGGGGCGCGCCAAGGGGGGGTCCTACTAGGACTCCACTCCTAGTAGGATTCGCCCCCCCCCCCCCCTTTTCCTTCTCATGGAGGGGGAAAGAGGAAAGGGAGATGGAAGAGGAGAAGGAAAGGGGGGCATGCCCCCTCCCCTAGTCCAATTCGGACTCCCTATGGGAGGGGGTGTTGGAAATATGCCCTAGAGGCAATAATAAAATGGTTATTATTGTATTTCCTTGTTCATGATAATTGCATATTGTTCATGCTAAATTGTATTAACTGGAAACCGTAATACATGTGTGAATACATGGACCACAACATGTCCCTAGTAAGCCTTTAGTTGACTAGCTCGTTGATCAATAGATGGTTATGGTTTCCTGACCATGGACATTAGATGGCATTGATAACGAGATCACATCATTAGGAGAATGATGTGATGGACAAGACCCAATCCTAAGCATAGCACAAGATCGTGTAGTTCGTTTTGCTAGAGCTTTTCTAATGTCAAGTATCGTTTCCTTAGACCATGAGATTGTGCAACTCCCGGATACCGTAGGAATGCTTTGGGTGTACCAAACGTCACAACGTAACTGGGTGGCTATAAAGGCACACTACGGGTATCTCCGAAAGTGTCTGTTGAGTTGGCACAAATTGAGACTGGGATTTGTCACTCCGTGTGACGGAGAGGTACCTCTGGGCCCACTCGGTGATGCATCATCATAATGAGCTCAATGTGACTAATGAGTTAGCCACGAGATCATGCGTTACGTAACGAGTAAAGAGACTTGCCGGTAACGAGATTGAACGAGGTATGGGGATACCGACGATCGAATCTCAGGCACGTAACATACCGATAGACAAAGGGAATTGTATACAGGATTGATTGAATCCCCGACATCGTGGTTCATCCGATGAGATCATCGTGGAACATGTGGGAGCCAATATGGGTATCCAGATCCCGCTATTAGTTATTGGCCGGAGAGATGTCTCGGTCATGTCTGCATGGTTCCCGAACCCATAGGGTCTACACACTTAAGGTTCGGTGACGCTAGAGTTGTTATGGGAAATAGTATGTGGTTACCGAAGGTTGTTCGGAGTCCCGGATGAGATCCCCGACATGATGAGGAGTTCCGGAATGGTCCGGAGGTGAAGATCGATATATTAGACGAAGGGTATTGGAGTCCGGAATTGTTCTGGGGGTGCCGGGTGACGACCAGCGTGTCCGAAAGTGGTTTCGGAGGCCCCGACAAGTGTTGGGGGCCTTATGGGCCAAGGGGAAGGGGCACACCAGCCCACTAAGGGCCTGTGCGCCCCTCCCACCCCATCTCACATAACCAGGAGAGGTGGGGGCGCCTCCCCTAGGGAAGCCTCCCCTCCTGGCTTGGAGGGCAAGTCTCCTAAGGGTAGGGGCGCCCAAAACCCATCTAGGGTTCCCTCCCTGGCCGCCGCCCCTCCCCTAGATGGGATCTGAAGGGGCCAGCCCCCTCTCCCCTTCTCCTATAAATAGTGGGGGTGGGAGGGCTGCCAGAACACCAAGACCCTTCCCCTGGCGCAACCCCTACCCCTCTCCTACACCTCCTCCTCCTCTGCAGCGCTTGGCGAAGCCCTGCCGGAGAACCACGAGCTCCATCACCACCACGCCGTCGTGCTGTCGGAGTTCTCCCTCAACTTCTCTTCTCCCCTTGCTGGATCAAGAAGGAGGAGACGTCCTCGGGCTATACGTGTGTTGAACGCGGAGGCGCCGTTGTTCGGCGCTTAGATCGGAATCGACCGCGATCTGAATCGCTGCGTGTATGACTCCACCAACCGCATTCTTGCAACACTTCCGCTTAGCGATCTTCAAGGGTATGAAGATGTACTCCCTCTCTCTCATTGCTAGTATCTCCTAGATTGATCTTGGTGACACGTAGGAAATTTTTGAATTATTGCTATGTTCCCCAACAGTGGCATCATGAGCTAGGTCTATGCGTAGATTCTATGCACGAGTAGAACACAAAGCAGTTGTGGGCGATGATTTGTTCAATTTGCTTACCGTTACTAGTCTTATCTTGATCCGGCGACATTGTGGGATGAAGCGGCCCGGACCGACTTTACACGTACGCTTACATGAGACTGGTTCCACTGACTGACATGCACTTGATGCATAAGGTGGCTGGCGGGTGTCTGTCTCTCCCACTTTAGTCGGATCAGATTCGATGAAAAGGGTCCTTATGAAGGGTAAATAGCAACTGGCATATCACCATTGTGGTTTGCGTAGGTAAGAAACGTTCTTGCTAGAAACCCATAGCAGCCATGTAAAACATGCAACAACAATTAGAGGACGTCTAACTTGTTTTTGCAGGGTATGCTATGTGATGTGATATGGCCAAAAGGATGTGATGAATTATATATATATATATGATGTATGAGATTGATCATGTTCTTGTAATAGGAATCACGACTTGCATGTCGATTAGTATGACAACCGGCAGGAGCCATAGGAGTTGTCTTAATTTATTGTATGATCTGTGTGTCAATGAAAAACGCCATGTAATTACTTTACTTTATTGCTAACCGTTAGCCATAGTAGTAGAAGTAATAGTTGGCGAGACAATTTCATGAAGACACGATGATGGAGATCATGGTGTCATGCCGGTGACG